GTCTGCTTCCCACACCAATCAAAAGCGCCCGCCCCTTCCCACAAAAAAGCACCATATTTATTTTATTAAAAACTGTACAAATGATATTTCCTTTGGGGCAATATATCTGTGGTACATTCGTGGGCCTTAACGTCGGCATGGTGGTGGGGGCTGCCCAATGGACTGCCATCGGTTCTCCTTTTCCTTCCCCTACCCCTGCTCGACCCGCTCGTTACTTCAAATATTGTTCCCCTTTTCTGAGAGAACAAACAAGTAGCACCCCGCCCCGCCCTGCCCCGCCGTGCCCTGCCCCACCGCCACCAGCTGCGGGGAGTGCAGTACAGTAGTTAAAGTTAGCTCGGGTGAGTTGGTGGAGCACTTCATCTAATAAATACCCTTCCCGCGGAAAAGGGGGCACGGAAGACTTCACTCTCATTCCAGGAACGTGACATCACGCTGAAAGGATCGTGACAAAATGTCACGTTCGTTTGAGCATTGTGTCACATTCGTTTGAATGTGAACAAGCTGGGTTTTTTGGCCAATTCACACCCAAACGAATGTGACACAATGCTCAAACGAACGTGACATTTTTTTCCTGGAATAAGAGTGTTGGCGGGAAAAATATGCTCACCTAATTTCAGACCCCATTGGTCCGAAAATATGCACACACTAAGTTTTCCTTGCATCTTACAGTGAAAACAACGATTTTCTCTGCAACTTACGGTAACACTAAATCTGTTAATATTCGTTCAGCAAAAAGTTTCGGATTATTTTTTTTCAGACGCGTGGCGCCTTGCAACTCTCCGGCCCCAATCTAACCACTGATTACCGCTGATTGGATAAACTTATCGAATTTCAGCCATCTCGACACACCCCTATCAACCACCCGGGGTCGCCCGCCGCCATCTCCCCAACAGGCGGCCCCAGGGCCCTGCGGGGAAAGGGGAGGAGAGCGAGAGAGAGAGAGAGAGAGAGAGAGAGAGAGAGAGAGAGAGAGAGGGGGGGGGCGCAAGAAGGAAGGCAAGGCGAGGACACTGATGGCACCAGAAGCTCGACGACGGGCAAGGAAAACAGCTGCACTGCCAATTCAAGTGCGGAAAGCGTCAACGATAAACATAGCGGCTGGCGTCATCTTCGGCGGATTTTTTTCCTCCCGAGTTGGCGCACCCTTCACTCTCACACTTTCTGCTGATAAAGTCCGCGCAGCACGTGTGCAGTCTAAGCGCTGCGGGGACTGCACGCCTTTGGTGGGCGCACATTCCTTTTCAGCCTTTTTGTAAAATCCTTTGCTGCTTTTACGCCGGATTTCGAAGGGACACGAATCATTCGTATCGAAAAATGTTGGACGATGGGCGTACTACGGACAGGACCTAAAATGGTCCCGGCATGGTCCCGGACTCCCGGACCGCGTGGAAGGCGTTATCGAGTCTCAAGTGCGACGCCAGACAAGGATTACAACTCCACTCGAAACTAGTTAAAAATATTTTTAAAACTCCGCAAAGACATTTTTTTTTGAAAAATTTACGAATTAGTAAGTTGAGACCCGACAAGATTCATTACATAAACGCGACTCGTGCGGAAAATGGGCACCGAAAGAAGACATCCGCAAACGGCCGAAGTTGACCCGTAGTCCCGAGTTCCGTTTCCGCTCCCCTCGGCCCCCCTGGCCCCCCTGCCCCCCTGGCCCCCGTGGGCCCTGGGTGAGACTGGGTGAGACGGGGGCCTGGATGGGAGACGACGGGCCGCGCAAGGGGCCGCGTCCCCGCCACGCGCGCCCAGCCGGGCCCAGCCGGGGCCACCCCAACGGAATGGCAAAGGTGAGGGCACACGCGCAGCGCGCGCAGCGGAGACGGCTCTATCTTGCTATCTCGCTCGCTCGCACCGGGGGGAGAGAGAGAGAGAGAGAGAGAGGGAGAGAGAGAGAGAGAGAGAGACGGGGCTGCGCGGATTCACTCAGGGCTGGGTTTACTTCCTTTTCTACTTCTCCTCCCCCGCGGCCGCAGACGATGCCTCCTCCCCCTCCCGCCGCCCCCATTCCGTCCTTGTCGCACTCACGGGGCGCTCCGTGGCGGTGCGAGAGGGACAGGGCGAAGAGGCGACCCCTCGGAACGTGGCGCCAGGTCGCGTCTTTCGGCACCAACCCACGGCGGCGCTGCTGACTGGTTCCGAGAGTCGTTCCCGTCGCGCCGTCTCGCTCGCACCTCAACGGGACACCCCAAGAGTGCGAGAGGGACAGGCGACGAAGACGACTCTCGGGATCGGTCTGCTGACCGACGAGCCACCCGCGTCAGAGTTGCGGTGGAAACCGGGCAGAAATATGGAAGGCGACGACGGGGTCAACCGCCAGCCGAAGCGGTGCGGTGCGCAAGCAGCGAGCCCGTCAGCCTGCCGGGTAGGCATCGCGCTTCACACCGCTGCAGTGTATTGCCTACCCTGCAGGCGCTCGGTCAGCCTGCCGGGTAGGCATCGCGCTTCACACCGCTGCAGTGTATTGCCTACCCTGCACCCTGCAGGCGCTCGATTGCGATTAACGGCTGGACCACAAGTGATCGTTTGCCTTTCGGGGGCCAAAAAGACACGCTGAGGGTTTCGTCAGGGCGGTCGCAGGCCGGCACCGACACCGACGACATCGTCAAAGCCCGTCAGCAGTGAAGCTCAGTGCGCTGATTCGTCGTTCTGTCTCTTTCACACCCGTGGGGTGGGGCGGTGGGGCGAGAGAGACAGCAAAGGAAGGAGCCCAGAGGGGGGCGGATGGCCTGCCGGGGGTTGGGCAGGGCTGGGTACGGGCCGGCCTAAGGGGGCGCACCTGTGGAAGCGAGGGGCAGGGGGAGGGAGAGGGGCCCAGAGGGGCCAGGACCTGGGGCAACCCCCACCACCGCCACGGGCAGGGCAGCGGGCAGCGGGCCCCACTCCACTGCCAAGGGAGCCCCTACCCGGTCAACCCTCGGCCCGCCCGCATCTTGGAGCCACCCCCGCCAAACGGGTCCTCTCCACAACAGCACGCCCCGCCACGCCCCGCCGCGCCACGGCGTGAGCGGGGAATCGATCTGTGCGAGATACTGTCCAGGGAAAAAGGGGGGGGGGGATAGTGGAGATTTTGGGTAGGCCAAGATGTTAGGCGGGACCGAGGTTGGGGACGGCGTCAGATAAGAAGCAGGGCTGGCCATGCTGGGCCATGCTGGCACGCGGATTGGCGCGGATTGGCGCGGATGGATGCCGACCAGATTGATAATTGAGACGCTCGGATATCGGATCGGGTGAGATTATGAAGGGCTGGCGGCCCGAGTCCTTACAGCACGCTAACAGCAAGCCAACCAGCCAGCCAGCCAGCGAGCCTTCCCGCCGAAAGCAATCGGCGCTGCTGGGCGCGACGGCCGAGCCGAGGGCCGAGCCGACGCGACGCCAACGACCACTTTGCCTTCAAGGTGATTCAAAGCCAGCGACAGCCAGCGGCCAGCGCACTGATTCCGAGCGGGCGGCCTCTCTCTGTCTCTCTCTTTCTCTCCCCCTCCTGCACTCATGAGGACGTCCCGTATGGATGCGGCCGAGCAAGCGAGAGAGAGAGGGAGAGAGAGGGAGAGAGAGAGAGAGAGAGAGAGAGAGAGAGAGAGAGAGAGAGAGAGAGAGAGGAGAGAGAGAGAGAGAGAGCGGCCAGCGTTGTTCCGCGAGACGAGTGCCAGTGTAGCTTCGTCAGCTTTGCCCCGCGTTCCAGATTTATGCGAGGCCCCAGAGGGGGTGGAGGGGCGGGGGTGAAGAGTCTCTGGCTTTATGACGTCATAGAAGGCGTTGACGGGGAGGGGCGGCGGGGGCACAGCCCGTCGCGGCAGTGGCGGCCAGGGCACGGCCGGGGTGGGGGTGAAGTGTGACGTCAGTCACCGCAACAGACTCCCTGCCCCCCTATGCTCCCCTGCTCTGCCTGGCTGTGCCCAGGTGGCCGCCGAACTGTATGCAGCATTGTGTGCAGTGCCGAGCCCCGCAGACTGGTTACGAGGGTCGCTTTCGTCGCTCCGTCTCTCTCGCACCTATACGGGACGCCCCATGAATGCGAGAGAGACAGAGCGACGAAAACGACTCTCGGAATGAGTCTGCAGCGCAGCGCCATCCCGTCCTTTCAAGTTATTCTCTCCCCTCGCTATTTGCAACCCCAATGTGCCCCCCCCCCCCCCACCGACCTCTTCCTGGACACAACTTGATGCAAAAGAGGGAAAAGGGGGGAGGGGCGGGTAGAAGAGCCCATTATATGACCGAGCAGTCCTACACATGAATGCTTGAGTCGTAAATCAAATGGCCTGTTGGAAACGACAAGTAGAGTGGGATTGACAACTTGATTAGCACAGATGGAATGTACCAGGCTCCAAGTCAATGTGCATGTCTGACTCTGAAAAATATTCCCCATGCAAATTAACCCCCTTCACCCCCCAGTCAACCAACCGAAATTTCCAAAAGCGTTTCATTCTTAAATATATTAAACGGTGGCCAGTGGTTCTAGCATAACTCATTCGATAGGTGAGAACTGCTATTCTAACGCTGCAGTCAGGGCACTGGAGCAAAGTGGCCTAAAATGTCAGATATTCACTCGCTTTAATTACGGAACACATGCATTAATTAAGTGCAATTACTTTTAAAACAGTGCACTACATATCATCTGCAGAGACTTTGGCATGAATTTAGAAATGGTAGTGTTCTATGATTTCACTGATATCTTCGACGTCAAGACAATAGTGTGCGTTTTAACAAAAATGAAATTGGCAAAGACCTGATGGATAGATAGGTTAACATTTCTCCCTGAATCATTTTAACTTGCCGTCACAAATAGACGATTGTCATAACGTGTACACTCTAAACTAAATAATCAGAAAAATAACTGTTCTTTATGAATCATCGAAAGGGAGAATCCTTTTGAAACTTAAACAAAGTTGTACAAGTAAACACAGGGCTGGATTACATGAAGACACGGCAAAAGGCATTTAAGAACAAAGAGAACGGGGCAGTGCGAAGAATCGCATTTGATGATGACTTACCTGAACCTTTAATTCGGTGAAACAGGGCAGTTTCGTTCAAATAACACAGAGACAAGACACACATTCAATATTCAATTCAAGACAAGATGCGGACGGTTCTGCTCGAAGCTGTCTGCTTTGAGTTTAGTAAGGGTGAGCAAGAGAGAGAGAGAGCGAGTGAAATAGAAAGGGAGAGAGAGAGAGAGAAGGCTACTGCTTCCAGCTTAGCCAACACGAAATGTACTCTGACAGAACGTCCTATTCAAAAAAAGGATTTATAGAACTGCATTATTCTTTAAACTTTAAAAAAAAATTGTAAAACTTGTCTAAGAATTTTCTTTAGACCCTTGCTTGCTTCATTAATTTGAAAAAACTTAGCGCTCTACTATTTACTGTTGGCGCACTTTGTTTCGAGAGGTCGATTTGATAGTCGATAGATGTCTGCTGAAGTGATCAACAAAAATGGGTGGATGCCAGTGGATTGATGTCCTTTGGTGAAAAGTCTTTGAATCTATAGATTCTCCCTATCGTCTCAACTTTGGCTCGTTTTTCTCTGATGAAATTGGCTATTTGATATGGAAGAATGGTTACCAGAGACGCCGTAGTGCTATTTGTTCTCCTGGTGGCGCTTTGGAAAGGTGAGACTCGTCTGTCCCGCTTCGGCTTCATTGCCTTCTGTGTTGATGCAGGGTTGTATCTTCATTGGGAATATTTTTATTTTCCGATTCGCTGTTTTGCTCTCTGTGAACTCAAAATTTAATTTGAATTTCCTGTAGACACCTGGATGGTTGAACTCTCTATGAAACAATCCATAGGTTGCTTTATTTTCAATACTTTGTATCAGCATTGTGCATTTGTATTTTTCTCTTCTGCTTCGATCATTTCAACTTGTTCTGTTGCTTTTAATGCAAGAACAGCCTAAATGCTACAATGATTCTCTGGCCAGTTGACACTATTATGCTTGGTAGACATCCAATTGGCCCATTTTAATGGAGGCCCGTTCTAATAGCCATTGTTTATTCTCTACTTGTTATTCTATCCTTAACGTTTTCTTGCTGTGAATTTTCAGGTGGTTGCTTAGGAGACAATACCTTTATTCAAGCTGTTGATTATGGAGAAAACATCACTCTACCATGCTTCCCTCACATCCCTGATGATGACGAGGCATTGGATGCGGAGGACGGTTGGGAAAACCATGGCAATGCCATGTGGGTGAGGCAAGGGAGAGAGGATAAGCAAATCTCCCGCATGTCGGTCCAGAAAGATGGAAGCCTCTTCCTTTCGGACCTGGACCACAATGATTCTGGTGTTTACCTGTGCATTGTGGACGATAAAGTTCAAATGAAAGTGAGGCTGGAAGTAAGAGGTATGAATGAATTGATATTGTTTTTTAGCAGTTCACTGTTGACATTCCATGTGATATGTTTGCTATTTTTGTTTTATAGTTGACTTTAATGGTCCTTTGTTTGTGTTTTGTCTTGTTTTTCTCAGTTCCTCCACCAGCTCTAGCCAATGTAACCATAATACCTTCCACAGTTCTGGCCCTTCTTTTGTGGGAGGTTTCAGACCCTGGTGGCTATCCAATATCACACTTTTCTGCTCGATATCGTCTTAAAGACACGCCAAAAACACCTAGCCATCATAATGAAGAAACAGCACCTCTGGACTATTCATGGCATTGGGTTGTGCCAGAACAAATTAAGCCTTTTGTGGTAAGAAATAGATCATAATTTGGTGAATGTAGAGGAAGGGACAGTGGCAAGCTGGTGACATGTTCATTTATGAGATCATCTTTTGTTCAGCGTGAAATTGATGTTTACCAACTGCGCCCTAACTCATCATACTTGTTTGAAATTTGGGCTACCAATCATTTGGGTTCTGGTGAAATCACTCAACTTGAGACACATACTAAAAATAATGCAGCTGAAATAGGTTAGTGGAATAATAAAATACTGTATATATAAACACACAAAACTTATGCAACATTACCTAAAATAATGTATTTTTTTTTTTTTTAAATTTAGAACTTGCAAGGCATTTACTGGAAGGTGCTGAAACATTTGATACTCGAGTATGGGTTGCTGCTGTGGCAATTGTGATGGGAACTCTTGTCATGTTGGCTTTGGGAACTTGCTACCTACTTTACAAAGAGTGTCATATTCCTAACAGTAAGTGTGTTTTGTGCCAGGAAATTTTGATTATCCTGTTTGATTATCCTGTTGTGTTTCATGTTGTCTTTAATATTACAGTGAATTTAGATGAGCATGAAATCATGGAGCTGGTTCCAAATATTATTCTGAACCCTGGGTTTCATGATGAAGATGGCAGTATTGCCTTGGATGGCCACTATGAGAGAGATGAGAATTGCAATAATCGACGTGCTGCACACACCAACAACAACTCCACCATTCAGCCCTATCGTATTTGATTGGAGGATGGCCCAGAGGTGAAGTGCTTTCAGGAGTTTGTGCGTCAACATTCTGCTGTCTTGATATGATATTTTACAAAATTTGTCCAATACAGATGGAGGCATACTTCTGATGGAGCACATGAATAAAGAGTAGAGCTGCCCAAGTGCTTTTTGCACGTGCATGCATAAGAACCATCGTCACTTTAGCTGTGAGCACCATTGCACATCACGAGTCCTGTCAGCACCAGCTGCCAGATCAACGTAGAATCACCATGGGGCCAGAAATAATTTTACACAGTAGATGTGTTTGATTGGTTGTGAATCGAACCAACCTGTCGGGTTATATGATACCTTATGCATTCATTATAGGGAGCGATCAATCCTTAAAAATGTGCTAAACAATGCTGAACACCAACTGCTTACATTTTCCTTTCAATTCTAAGTTAATGTTTTAGTACAACTGTAACTTACAGAACTTCTGTGTCTAAAGTCATCCACTGATATTTTATTCACAAGTGTTCTTTTAACAGTTACATGTTTGAGCAGAGGTTTTCAGCATTGTGTCAGAATACAATTCGACTCTTGTATGCTTTCGCCTGTGGGCGCTGTTATCAGCAAAATTTACCGATGAAAACCTGAATTGCTCCCTACCTGGGGGTGGAACTGAATGACTTTTAAGAAGCGGGAGCCAAAGCCTCCTGAATTTTTGCTACCCACACTATTGCAGGGTAATTAATAACTCAAAATTTGAGGGTTTTTTACATATGGGTGAAAACTTTGATTTTGCCCTCCTTACAGATGGATAAATAATGTTGATCCAAGTGGAATTTTAGGTATGTTGTCAGTATTGTTTTTTGTTGTCATGTTTTTGACATAAATGTCGACTGATATGCCTTGGTAGGATTTCTAGTTATGGACATAAGGTAATCATTCCCTTTGAAATTCAACCTGAAGAATTCCATCTTAATACCATTTAAGCAGATAAGATAATTAACTTATTTCTCAATTTTGTGTAATATTTTGGGTTTGACCAAATATTGTTAAGATAAGTTGTACTTGAAGCTTAAAGAGCCTCTATGATTTGCCAGCAGTTGCTGTAGATTCACTAACCGAACTGAGTTTGTTCATAATTGACTTTCATCCTAAACATCTTAGTTGTTTTCACAGCTTTATTGCTCTATCTGTAATGTCTCTGATGAATGTTCTGTTTTTAAATTGCTCAAATGTTCCCAAAAAAGTATTACTGCTGACTCATACTTTAAAATTATTATTCTGAATGTGATATTTCCTTAAGTGTACTTTGTCATATGACAAGGCCATCTCACAACTCAAAATTGAGGAAAAGCAGGTCGTTTTACATACCTTTGCACTCCTCTGCTTTCATTATTTTATTGTAATGAGATGTCCATTTCTCTTATTCAATGTGATTTGCTTTTTTTTTTTCATTTTTGTGTTGTTTTTTATTATTATTATCTAACTCCTGCTGCTCAGCAATCTCTGCATTCCTACCTACATTCACGCCTTTCATGCCAGCTCTCCACCTTCTCTTTCTCTTCATTCATGTGGCCAGGGTTTGGTCAGTATAAGTGGTGCTCTTTTTAAAGACACTTGGCTGTTATTAATTTTATTTTAAAGATTCTTTAATCTTTATTTGTAAATACTGTATGTGGACTTTTAATAGGAGGGCAGAACTTTCCACACTTTGGCTTCTGTATCATAACTGCGTTGTTACTGCGTCAATTCCAATATGACATCTTACCTTTGGCGTAACTTTATCCCTGGTTCAACACACCACGGTAAAATCTAGTCATTTTGTTTTGTTATTATTTGTTTATTTATTTATTTATGTAACTGTTTGCTTACTATTTGTTTTTTCACCTGAAGTTGAGCCACTATGTTTTAATTTGTGTTTCATGAATTTTCCTATTAGTATCTGAAATGGAATTGTGATAAGCTTGCACCGCTCTTAAATTTAGGAAACAGCTTTCTTTACTCTCCCTCTAACCAACCTCTATCCTTATTCACTTTAGAGATCTGTAATTGTGGCTTCCTCTTACTATTAATAAGCTCTAGGAAATAATCTTGTGCTTGCTTGTCCCATGTTTCAATTGTCCACCTCACTTGATGTGTATCTCTCTTTCTACGTCTCCCTGATTTACTCACACTTGCTACTGCTACTTATTGTCAAGATTAATCTTCACATGTCTATTTCATAGATGTATATATGTGCTTATTGCTTGATTGAATGAGAGAATGACTGTAATTAATTTTAACCCAATCAAAATACTTATCTAGAACTTAATGTGTGTGTTCAAAATGAGATCCATCATATCAGGTACTATCTGAGGTGAGCTGCTGTTTCGGTTTCAATTCAATTTGAATTCTCAGAGAGAATTTCGCTTGATTGTTTGTATTGCTCTGTTGCTACTTGATGTTTTGTTTTTCTTGTTAAGACTGGATTGCTCAGTTAATTCTTTTTCCTATTTTCTGTGTTTTGTTATAACACTGGTTGTTTAGATAGACTGTTCCATAGAGTGTGTGGCTGGCTATGTTATAGTTTTTCCAGCCTCAACTCCATTTAATGTATGGACTTCTGCCTCCCTCAGATAGGTTAAGTGTGTTGTGTGTAACATGTTGTTAATTATATCAAAATTTGAGTGTAAGAGATTTTTCATTTCTTTTTATTTTTTATATTGATACAGGACTAATAAGACTTGATAACAATGTCATTACTTAAGTGTAATACTTGAGGGCTCTATTTAAAATTCATCCAAGTATTCTTTTGTCTGACAATTATCTGCCATGGCTTGCAGGGTTGTCTTGTAGCCTTTTTATAAGCATAGCCTGACACTGATGTGTGATGAAATATTGCCATTGTTTTCTTCAGTAATTCAAAGCAATGATTGTGACCTGAATCATTGAACAAAATGGTGACACAGTTTGAACATACTCTCTGGTGTATCCTATTTTATCTGAGTGGAGTTTGCTTTGACAATACCTTGGTAACACTAATCATATTTTTCATGCTTTAGATTGATGCAGCTCAGTTCCTAGACTTTTGTAACTTGCTTACAAATAGAAAGAAGTAAATGACTAAGTCACCGCACTTAGATATAAATAAAATAGGAATGAAGACTACAATGTTTCTAGTCTGGTGCAGTTCACATGTTTGGAACTACTAGCTAATCTTATGAGGAGAAATATATTCCGCCTCGCTGTGTAGGCTTTGTTGGAGGAGGAAAGGGATGAATCTCCTTGTATCTTGCATGATGAATGAAAACCCTTTCAAGTTCCCATTCCAAAAGCTGGAGGTCTTTGTGTGAGAAGAGATTAAGTGGAGGAATGAGTCTTTTGTGATATTTTGTAGGAACCCGTTTCATTTAGAAAAAAAAAAAAAAAAAAAGATCATAAAGAGACACCCAAGTGTTGAGAGCTGCAAGTGTTTTCTCTAAAGGTCCATGTTCATGCCAAATGTTTTCTCTCTTCTCTAGTTTCATCAATGAACAAATTTATCAAATGATTTATTTAAACGTGTGGGGCTCTTGTGTTTCAGTGTTAACAAAACTGTTCACAAGCCACCATTTCTCTCTTTTTTTTAGCCCACAGTTGCCAGAATATTTTGAATTCTGTTCGTTTTCTGTGTTCCTGTCATGCTCCATGTGGACCAATTGGACTAACTAAACTGCCATTCTATCAATGAAATTTGAACCTAAACGTTCCCTTGTTTCTCTTTATTTTTGGCATGTCATTTTTGGCAGAAATATTTGCAGTCTGACACCTGTGAAGCCCCCATTTGTGTGTTCGGTATCCATGCAGTTTGCATTATCATATGCAAAGATCTTTCAATTATATTTTATTGAGATGTGTACTATGGCTATTCATTCATTTTTATTTATTCAAAATAGTAGATAACAATTCTGTATTAGGCAGGTTACCGGTAGTTGTAAGATTAAGTTTTACTGTATGTAAAGATCCCAATAACACAGCAGTTTCTCCACTCTGTTCTCTCTCTCTCTCTCTGAAGGAGGTGGCAAGAGTGGTAGCTGTGTGTATGTAGTCTGTCGTGTACAAGTAAGATACTATGCATCATTCCTTATTTCTTTGCTCATGTTTTGGTAGGCACCTCTTCAATGCTGTACATGTGGGTTCCTCTCATTTTTCTCTTAATCCTTCTGAGCATTCCCTGCACCTTAAAGAGTGTGATTAAAAATTTGGGTGACATTCAAAATATCACTTTTGTGCAATTGATGCCTGATAACTAGTGTCAGAAGATAGTTCAGTGTTATGCAACACATGCCACACCCCATAGATATTCATTGCAACTGTAAACAATTGATGATCTAAAATGAATGAAGTTTTTCTAAGCAGAGGAAGAGGCTTTTGTTTTTGACTTTAAACCATGTGATACAGTATCTTAATAATGGTATTATCTCCTCCTCTTTTCATTGCTAACTGATATGAATAAAATATGCGACTGTACTGTACTTGGTTTAGACAAAATGTCCATAGTAACCCACTTGTTTTGTGTTCAAAGTCATTACATATTTTGTAACGCCACTGTAGTTACATTTTGCTATAAAAATAAAGCTGTATGTAATTTTGATGTGACTGATGTTTATCACCAACCAGGATCAAACAAGACAACATAAATGCAAACATTGAGTGCGACACAGTTTATTATACCACTGCAACAATGAATAAGTTTGTCAATAATTCAATGCTGGCATACTCACACAAATGGAAGAACCTCCAGAAAAAATGGACAGAGGTACAGAAGTAAAAGTTACAATGTGAATAATATTCAACAGTCTTTGGCCTAAACTTACAGTTCGTCACGATATTGTACTTTGAATTACAATTTTGATTTTAAAAGCAGTCTTCATCCACACAGATTCCAAACACATTAGTTGAGCAAAGTTCAATTTCATTTCAGTATAAAAAATTGGTATAAAAATGCACTTTTACATACACATTAAGAAAAAATGACTTAGAGTATTCAGGACAAGTGGTGATGCTTTGGTTCTGCATTCCTAAAATATGACTTCAGTCACAAGATAACCATCACCAACATAGTCTCCTGAAGTACAATGCATGACACTCTCTCTGACTCATTGACTCAAAATGTTTGATCAATTGAAACCTTTTACAACTAACAACACTTCTTTTAAAACTATACATTCAGATCTAGGCCGCAACTATATCAGTTAAAAAGGCTTGTGATAGCTAAAATGAATTTTTTGGTCAAATATGTAATGCAGAATCACGACCAAAAATTACATTGGCAAGTAAGCAAGTTTGCCAACAATATTTAAGTAGTTTTTCCTTGAGGGAATGTTGATCTCTTCAACTGACCCAAGAGGTAAAACTTCACCCCAAAGGAGAAAAAATTTGTCCAGAACTCATCCAAGACATGTAAAATATCACAGCAAAATGGAAAGAAACTAATCTAAGGGAATATACCAGTAAACTATAGTTGAGGATACAATGGCAGCCAGTTAAGATTAAAACATATCAGCAAGAATTAACTAACTCACTCAGAATATACAAATTGACTAGATCTTACAGCTTACATGAACTGAAAATTTTTGAAGGTCAATAAACAAAGTTTCAAAAATCTTTTATAACACTGGATGTGATTCCTCCATGACTAAACATGACTAAATTTAAGAACTAAATCTCAATAAATAGTAAAACCACACAATATAGTAGTTACACTTATAAAGTACATTTTCATTGAATACTTGCAAGTACTGAGCTAACTCCTGGAAAACGATTCTACAATGAATGTTCCATAAAGTACACTGGGAGAAATTGAACTTGTATTGACTTCAATGTACTGTTAAACAAAACAAATTAAATACTATTTACACATGGCTCATAATAACATGGAACAGGTAAGTAACAAAACGGAGTATTAACTCCAAGTAGTGTACATTGAAGGATCCACAACCTTCTTAAGTACAAGAACGTGTAGTCATACAACAATACATGACAAAAAAATCATCATTTCATAATGCACCAAAAACCTCCTGTTGACTTTATATCAATAAATATTCTCCAATACAATGCATAGGGAAGTTTTCACACGCCAGCACAAAGAGTAACAGGAATACGTGAGACTAAGTACATTTGGCTCTTACAGAGAAGAACCAAACATCAAAAAATATCTTTACAACACAAAAAGTGAGAAGAGAAAGTAAAATACTGGACAGTTCATGCTTACACAGAAAAGGAACTGAAGTAAATGAGATCATGTTTCTTTGTCATTCACAGCATTGCAAAACAATGTGTAATAAACTAACTTTGTCAAGATGACAAGGGTTTCAACTGATACTTTCATAGTTGAATCCAAAATGTAACTCCTTCTAGAGTAAAATTTGGATAGAAATTAACTGGAGTTGGCGACTGATATTTCAAAATTGGAAAGACAATGTGATGCAAGCTGAGATATGACTAGATGTGTGGAATACACAAAGCAATGCAAAAGCTTAAAGAAAACCTATCTTTTTGATATAAGTGACTTAAGTGACTTCTGATGGAGATGACAATTTCTGATAGGATGTATGCGTGATCTGTGAATGTCTTAATATACTGAGCATGAATCAGAGTCCATGTCATCGACAGGCTCAACTTTAACATTGACTGCTGGTGGTTCCTCTTGCTCAGTTGGCTCTGTCTTAATTTTCACCTCCACTTGACTCAAAAGGTGACTGAAGTCAGGCATGTTGTCGAGGTCAGGCTGGACAACCACAGCTTCAGCTCCTTGAAGATGCTGCGCAAATTGATTCCAGGAATCCTGTAGAACCAATTTTTTGATTTGTTAGATTTGAAGTTTAACAACAATTTACTGAATGTTTTAATTCTATTTAAATTTTTCTATATATGGTTTACCTGGGTGTTACAGCTGCCACGTCGACCAGCTCGCCCCAATACTGGCCGCACAATAGGTAGCATAGGTTCTAGGGTTCCATGGTCTCCCCTACATTTACAAGACTTGCAGCATGATCGGCAGTTTCCTTTCTTTCCTCCTTGCTCTTGAGTTTGCTGCTGCTGTTGCTCCATGTAGCGTTGTTGTCGTTTACTTCTACGGGCTTGTTGAGGAGATTGAGATTGGTTTCTGGCACGCGGCTTGTTCTTAGGCTTGATAGGCTCTTGTTTTAGAACATCCTGTTTATGGAAGTTCTTCATGTGCTTAATGTAATCGCGTTCATCAAGATAAATGCAGGAACATGCGTCACAGCGTTGACAATCTTCCATCCTGATTTTCGTCAGGCCCACAGCTTTCTTTGCTGGAGACAAAATAATATTTAGTTATACATTCAATGATTAGAAAAATATGTATACTTAACAGAGACATTGAACTTACGTCGGTTGTGAGGATTCACTCGAACAGGAGGCTTTGGAGGAGGTGGAGTTATTGGTTTGGGCATAGGCACCACCTCAGTTATGTCTGTCTGCAACGTTGGCTTCTCTTGAGCAATGGGAGTGCTGGGGGTGCTAGCAGGAGGGGGGCTGGGACTGCTAACAGAGTTCTTTGTACTCAATTCACCCTCACTGCTCTCACTACTTTTGCTAGGACTGGTTTCAATGCTTTTGTTCGCCTCCAATAATTCATTTTTCAGTTGATTGGTAAGTTTTTCAATCTTTTCTCGCCGGAGCGCTTCTTGGAAGCTTGCTTTGGTTGCATTTGCTAATAATTCATTTAGCTTGCTGTCAAGATCCAAAGGATCAAGTCCATCACTTAGATTGATATTGAGAGACACATTAAAGTTAATGTTCAGACTTCCATTTGATTGTTTAGCACTGGTGACAGTCACAGCATCAGTGGGACCTCCCTCAGGTAAAGCAGTTTGCGAAGCATGAAGTCGAGTATGCAGTTGCAAGATATGTCGGTTACCAAATTGTTTCCCGCATTGTTTGCACTCAAAGTTTTCTGAAACAGATTTTGAGTTCAGTACAGGCACCCCATTACTGACACAAATGGGAAACAGGAAAGAGCAGATGCCAACCTTTGATGCCAAGATGTACTTCACGAATGTGCAAAAGACGATCAGCGTCATTGAGGAACTTCCGCCGACAGTGGGCGCACTCCAAGACAGCAGTAGTTCGTCTTGGAGGCACTGCATTGTTCTCGTCAGACACAACCATTGTTGAGCAGTTGCTCCTGTAACAATTAGATAATGATGTTTAAAGATGTACAGATTTACATAATACCAAAACAAACTAAGAAAACTTAAGACACGGAAAAATGTTAAAACTATTTGAAATATTCATGGAAGTGGAAAATGTTATGCCATATTCTAAGTGCAAAATAGAGCACAATTTACCTGTAGTAATAAAATTTAAAATTAACTAAACAAACAGTCACTACAAAAGCCTAACTGCCCTGAAGTCAAGAAATAAAATAAGAGCAGAAGCAGCAGCTAGCAGACTTTTTCTCTTTCAGCCTCACACCAACACACACGCGAACACACACACACACGCGCACACAAACTTAGTTTATACATGGCACTAAATTTCGCAAACTTCCATAGTTGCCAATAAATAGATCGAAATTTTCACTATCAACTGAGGTAGAATGAGAGTGTGCACTTGCATTTTTCAGGAATCGCCTCCCTTCAGGACAACAGAATGCCGCAAAAAATCAATACGGCATAGTGGCATACAGCACGGGGTGCCTTACAGTGCATAGCACAAAGGGATGCTCCCGAAACTCCCAAACTCGTGCGAAACCGGCGGTTAAATGAAGCCGAACACGGAGGGTGATGAATACGAGCGGAGCAGGGTAGAAAATCGCCTTCGGAATTACAGAGGGACTCGAAGCGTCAACCAGCAACTGCCATAAACCACCCCAGCTGACAGCCCAAGCCGCCGTTTCCAAGCAACCACCACCGCCGCCGCCACCACCGTCGGCGTCGCGGGGGTTGAAAAAATCGATACGGCTGCGGGGTGGCGAGCCGTTCCGCTCCACCCTCATCCCCGCGGCGCGTTCAAACATCGCCGCGACGAGAACGCGACACCAGGTACGCGTGGAAAGCTGTCTTACCGCAAGTTTGGCCGCAGGACACGCGGATTGTCACAAAACACGGGCATCCGTCTCGCCAGTCTATTCTTAGCCCTTAGCCGCCAGAAGCCATATCATATTTCGCTCCCTTCGCACCACAACATATGGCGGCGTGGCTGTGAGATGCGTTAGTCCAGCTGGCCAGGGTTGGTAAAAAAAAGAAAACATAAACAAAAATTAGATATTTGAGCAATCTTACGACAGTTATGAGATATGAAAGTATGAAAGCTTTGAACCAGAAAAAAAATCAATGGAATTGAAATGAGATCGATATCAAAGTTTCCTTCGCGTGCACGCAAAGCCCATAAACAAATTGGTAGTCTATGCGTAGGTTGTTTATGGTCCACGCTCACGTGTGTTGGCTCTCCTGATAGCCTATGTTTTCTTTTAATTTGGTGTGGGCACGTTTAGAATACAGCTGAAATATAGTTTGCTCTACTGCATTTTAAAGAAAATGCCTATATTGAGTAATGAAATTTTCTGCGTTCAATCCATCCACAATCAACAAAGATTTTATTTTCGAGTTGCTGGCAACACTGTGCAACTGCATATACAGTTTACTTCGCTTACAGGCAGTTTACTATTTACGCAGCCTGTCGAAGCCTAAGTCCTTGAGGACTTTGGCGCCGCTTGCGTAGTTCCTGCATTGCTCTGCATTTGGAACTCCCTCTGCAACTCCCTATCGTCTCAGGTCAGTTGTCATTTCTTTTCTTCGTTAAATGAACGCAATCGAAGCGCATTCAGATTTCTGGAACCCCGTGGAACCCGCCGCAAACCCTTCGTCTTCGTGCCTCCACGAAGGGTATTCCCCTTGACAAAGTCTAGACGATCATGTTCAAGTCTATATAGTCACTCCTTTGGACAGTGTCATGAGAGTTATCACCAAATAAAAATGAGTCAGGTCTCTAAGAATTTGTTTGTCCGCATTCGGTGCCTCTCTTGATAATGGTTGTCCCTGACATTTTGTCAGCCTTGTCACCTGTCATTATAATCGACATTTTGCCAGCCTATGTCACCTGCTATTATAATCTTATAGGATTTGCTTACTATATGTTTATCAAATAATATCTTTACTAACAGATGACTTTGATCTTTTTCCAGAAACATGACCGAACAAGAGGATGGTAGTGATCCTCCCCCTCCCACATTATCATGGGAAGACAAAGCACGGGAAGAGCAACAGCGTTACTTGGAGCTTTTAGGCACACGGGAGTATGACTCTTATAGAAGAAGAATGCCCTCTATTTGTAACCTTCTCCTTAATGGGTTTTGTAAATGTCATGAAGATGATGATGGAATGTGTGACAATGAGTCTGAAATGGTAGCATTGAGGACAAAAATAGGCTTTGCGCTATGTGGGCAGCCTACAACCATTCCTTCTGAAGAAAACTGTTTTACAGGGTACTCAGGAGATAAATTAAAAACCATTTCTAAAGTTTTTGACCAAATTGTTAACAGGCAACATCGTAACACTGTCTTGATGGGTACCATTTTCATTTCTTTAGAAAAAATGGATGGTAGTGATGTTTTAAGTATTCCCATATTTCGCATCCCAAACCCTGACATTCAGGAGGAATATTGGTTTGTAGATCCGTCCGGAAGACTTTACAAGAATTGGAATGATTTTCTTCAAAACAACAAGCTGTATAAGTCAAAATGTTGCTTCCCAAAAGATGGAGTTTATGGTGGAGATTCTGAGGGCAAGGTTGAAGTAGATTTTGGACTGACACCTGCATCCACATTAACTGGGAAAGTGATAAGCTATGTAGACACAGCAGCAACTGTTGGATCAATTGCAGCTGGTATTTGCATGTTTTTTCCGCCTATGGCTTTACCTAGTGCTGCTGCCTGTGGTGTGGTGTCATTTTACAGCACTGTTCGAGGTTCCATGGAATTAGCAGATAGAAGCACCCATGGACAAAGCTTGACGGACAGAGAAGCTGGCAGGCAGTGGTTGTCTTTAGCAGGCACTGCGCTTGGTCTTGGCAGTGCAGGAGGAATGGCTGCAGTGAAGATAATGACAAGGGAAGGAAGAGTTGTTTCTACCATTGTAACTAATTTTGTGACTGGATTGTCTGTCAGCTCTGGTGTAGCCAATGGCATCAACATCCTTGAAAATGCTTGGACTATAAAAGAGCAAGAAGAGTGGCTCTCTCTGCAAGGTTTTCAGCTTGCAGTATCTGTATTGTTCTTCGCTCACTCTCTGGCAAATTTCCGAACTGCCCGCTCTGTAGTTGTGGAAACCCAAACTCAAGTGTTAAATGATCATAGTGCTGGCTTAAGCAGAAGGCAACGCAATTTATTTGCTGGGATGCAGAGGGATACTTTGAATGTTGAACCTGACCCTATCATAGGTCGTGCTAAAATAATTAAGGATTTAAACCACATATCAAATAAAAGTGAATTTTTTGGTCAAATTCTGAAATCAAATAAGCAAGCAAGGAAGAATGACCAGCCAGTTCAGAGGTTCAAATTTGGCAATTTGGTTCAGGGTACACAAGATGGACCAATTAATCAAGCGGTACAGACCTCATCACCTGCTCAGAATGTCTTCCTGAGACAAACTACTGCTTTCTCACCTTTGGAACCTACACAATTCAAGAATGTATCTCCTAGGTACCTCCGGCCTCATGAACCAGCTTTGGTAACTGAAATCAGGGGCTGCCTACAGGGTTTTTCTTCCTGTGATATAGGGGTTTTCTTAAACCTCTTAAATGAAGTTTGTGAAAGGTTTAAATATGGAAGATTATGCATGTCAGCCATTCGAATAGTTATTGATATGTATAATTGTAGAAATGCAAGTGAGGCAATGTATATTCTAAAGAATGTGATGGCATTTTGGGATGAGTTAGTTGAAAATTACAAGGATTGGAGGAGTCGGTCAAGAGCACCAGAAACAGAATCTGATAATAATGAATGTGAAGACTCTGGAAATCTCCCACTGGACGTGGAGGAAATAATGGATGAGATTGTGGGTGATGTCGACTTTATTCCTGAACATTTTTATCATTTAGGTAGTATAGAGATGGAGGAAGAGGTTTACCATTTCCCTGTAGATCATCTGGAATGGGGTGCGGAGGGTGAACTAGCACCTGAAGATTATGTTTTGATTGCTCAGAACTCTTTTGGCACAAGCACACAAAGCTGCAACATTATGCACCAAGGTAACACAGCAAATGTTTTTCTTGAGCACCATGGTCTTGTAAAAATAATAAGCTCTGTCAAACAACAGATAATAATTTTAAAAAAATTTAAGAAGCTGGAGTGAAGTACTATTTTTATAAAAATGTAGACCAAATTTGTAATGCAGGGTCACAAAAGCTATGTTATGTGAATGACACTTAGAATGTAGTGTAGGAAAAGTAAGTTTGCATTGCAACATCTCATTAGAATAAGTTGTTTTTGTCATTTAACTCCTTGACCAATAATAATTATTAGAAATGTATTTATCGTATATCGGACTAGCATATCAACTCTTACTCGGGCTGGATGACACACTTGTATTTTTATTTGACCAAATAAGATTTAATTTGCTTTTCAATAAAAATTTGCAGCCCATTCCTTGCTGTTTCTTGCTTCTTTTTTTTTTTTTTTTTGGATGGAGCTCTCCTTTTCCCTCATGATTTAAGCGCGGGCGGGGCATCTGCCAGACTACATGAAAATGAGCTTTCTTCCAAACTCGGTGGCACGGCCACATACATTTCAAATCTACTGTCGAAGGACTTGTCATTTAGCCACCGAACCCTTCTCCCCGTAAGGGACCAACTTGACAGTATCTGAAAGTTTCTCATCATTCATAGTACACATACTTTACGTTGTATGAAAAATTTAACTTACATTCTTACACAACTAGACAACTGGCTCTTAAATTGTACCAAATGTTGTACGTTTTCTTTGATACATGGGCCATCGTCCTCTTCTTTTCTGAGACAAGTGCACGTTAATGCACATTTTCCTTGTCAAAATTTTATTTTGGTCCTAACCTAAGCTGCACCCCTTAGTCTCGCAGTCTCGTCTCAAGCAAGCTATCAATCGTTCTCCCAAGCTACAAGCTACTTCTGGCGATTCAACTTAATTTTGTTGACGAGAGGCCAAAGATATCAGGCACTTTCGGTCTTTCGTCATTTTTTTTTAAAAATCGTGTGTGCTTCGTTTATAAAATCCCATCTCTCCGAGGGCATCTTCGGTCTATTTTGTTAGCGGCAGGAGAAGGTTATGGGCGGAATGATACGCTTGCCACTGAAAGTAGACCTACTATAACAAAAATAATGGTCTTCAGTCCACAACAATCTTAAATTTGTTTAATATGTGTATTAGGACACAATGAATAAAACACCCCAGTGGTTTAGGAAACCCTGCTTCAGTGCAGCACTGAGCTCTTTGTGATGGGTTAAAGAAGATGTCAACATAGTCTCTGTTTGTTTTTTGCGGCTACTAGGGTTATGTTTACATCCTTTGACATTTTCAGTAAGTCCAATTTTCTCTCCATTAATTTTTTCCTCTTTCATGGCACTCATAGCATGTCTCGTGAAACTAATAGTGGCAGTGTACCATGTCTGTTTTTGTCTGCTAGTACAGTTGCTCACTAATTTTATTGTTTCTCTCATGTAGATTCTTAACATGGAGTCTGTACAGCTCCTTGCCGATTCATCTGAGGTTTTAGGAGGGCATGTGCTTTCTCTCCAAAATGGAGATGTCCTGAGAGATAGTGGAATTTTATTTACTCAAGATGGGTTATCATCGAACATCATAACAGCAGGTGAGTTAATTGTTCATTGATCCAACTTATATCTTAGATCTATTGTCTAATCTTTGTATGGCTTTTAGATGCATCAAATGAAGAAGTCCAGAGTTTTATGTCGTTACCAGTTCATGTTCTGCAAGACAACTCCTTTGTCGGTCCAGTGTTAGTAAAAAATGCAGCTGGAGAAACGTTTCTCATTGACCCAAGACAGGTACCATTGGATGTGTATGCAGTTTGCGTATGTTTCTTTATAATGTTGACCAAATTTTCCAAAGCGTCTCTTTTGATTTTCAGTGTAGCGTGATTGGGAATGCAACTGATGAAGCTCAACCTCAATACATCCTAGCTCCGAGCACTGAACTAGTCGATGCTGATCAAGTAATTATTTTTCCAACGTTTTATTGTTGTGACACGCTACTGTATTCATTTGGAACATTTCTATTGTGTCTTTCTCTCTTTAAATGATTGACTCTTTTACAGGCATCAACATCAGGAATCATGGGGCTCGACATGGACTTTTCTTACATTACAAATGTTGGGAATGTGGTACTGGGTGAAAATGCTGCTGTGCCTGAGAACAACATGGATGTTAACTCATCAACTATTTTACAATTAGGCAGTGAAGTCCTTCAAGGGGCAAACAAACTACTTCCTGAAGGAATGTGTATTGATATGTCTCAATTAAGCATTGTAACTCCCAATGGTATTGTGTCATATGTGACATCCACTGATGATGGTATACTTTCTGTAGACACAGAAACTGAACATGCTATGCCAGAGCCCAGTAGAGGTAGATTTTTTTTGTTCCAAATTTAAATTAACTTTTTATCATGTGTGCTTTTATAATTAATTAATGTAACACAATTTACTCAAACTTGTTATAAAAGGTGAAGAAGTGGATATGAAAGATCTTGTTCTTCACACTGAGGATGAGATCGGATTTGATGATTCAGAACAAATAGACCAAGAAATTTCTCCCTCTGTACGTGCCAAGAGAGGACGAGGAAGACCCAGGAAAAGTGACCCCCAACAGGATGATGTAATGGATCCTCCAGTAGGAAAGGTGCAGTATCAAAAAATTAAGCACTTTACTTATGTAATAATGCTGCAGCACTGCCATTGCAGTTAATTCAGGAGAACATTGAAATTACATTCTCCCCCCAACTGATTATTGCCTGTCTGCCATTTTAGCCTCCTTATAAATGTGACACATGCGGATATGAAGCAGTTCTTTGGGGAAGACTTAAAAGGCACAAAGAAAGTCACAAAAATGAAAAACCACACCGTTGTAAAGAATGTGGTGCGTCATACAATGTTGAAGTAAGTTGGTGCTGAAAATGCAAAATTTTAATAAAATGGCACTTCTACCTAAGTGATGTGTATGGAACTGTGCTTTTAATTCACCTTTTTATCTCCTCCAGATAAATTTAACTTTGCACATGGCTACACACAGTCAAGGTGAACTGAAGTGCCCAGAATGCCAGAGGGCTTTCTCCAGAGTAGCCAGCCTAAGATCACACCTCATGATGCATGAACGGGAAGATAACCTTTTCTGTACTGAGTGTGGAGATGAGTTTGCTTTGCAGGTATTGTATAAACTTTCTGAATCTTCATAAAATATTTTTCCTAATGGATGTCAATGAACATATATACTATAAATTTATGTACTGTATTTATTATTTACATGTTCATGAGTGATTTAAAATTAAATTTTCAGTATCAGCTTGATAGTCATGTAATGGAGCATCAAGATGAATGGGTTGCCAAAAACTTAGAAAGGGTTTATGAGTGTGTAAAGTGTCAACGTCAGTTCTCTCGAGCATCTGCCCTGAAAGAACACATGCGTGAACATGTCAAGGTAGAAAATTATTATTTATCTTATCATCTCTTTGCACTTCTTTATGCTCCTCTCACCTGCTTCTTTTTAAAACCATTCAGGTAAAGCACTCCTTAGTCAGAAGAAAACATGACCGTTCTCAAGATCGCTCGGATTTCTCTCACAAGTGTCCTACTTGTGCTAAAGTCTTCCAGAAGCCCAGCCAACTTGTCCGACACATGCGTATACACACGGGAGAGCGACCTTACCCGGTGAGACTTTTTAGGAATTGTCCCTCATAAAGATGATTTTTGTTGTCATTTTGATCATTAACTCTTAACATTGGTATTTCAGTGTGATATTTGTGGGAAAGCTTTCAGTCAAAAGGGCTCCCTTCAAATACACATGACGAAGCACAATGGAGACAAACCTTATCAATGTGACTTCTGCAGTGCGAGATTTAGCCAGAAAGGTAGGTGGATTTAAAACTTCAATCAAGGTTTGATTGCACATTTGTTAATCTAGAAGGACACAAACCTAAATTTGACTTATCGCTCAATTCCTACTTTTTCAGGCAACCTGAGGGCTCATATTCAGAGAGTACACTCAATTCCACAACAGGGCACTGTAACTTATCAATGTACTGAGTGCCCATGTATGTTCCGAAAATTAGGAAGTTTAAATTCTCACATGGGTCGTGCTCATAATCATCAAGGAGACACTACACAGGTATTAGAACAGAATTTGTGTACAAGTGGTCTTTTTTGAACTATTTTTAATAAATTAAGAGAAATTGATTCATTTACAATTTTACAGCCATTGAAAAACAATGCTCTGAGCTCTGAACAAATGATGCAAGTAAATGTTAACCAAATTATGGCACAACTGGCTGCCCTAGAAAAGGCCACATCTAGTGGAGCACCCACAAATCCAGGTGTGTCAAGTGACCCTAAGGAGCAACAGTCTCAGCATGTCAATTTTAATAACTCTCAAAATGCTGAAAATTCCGTGGTAACTTCAGACATTAGCTCATCAACCACAGCAGATGCTGGCACCAAAGATATTCTTCAACAAGCTATTAGCAAAAGCGGGTTGGAAGGGAAGTCTGAAACAGAACCTGTTGTTGGTCAGTATTCTTCTGTAATAGTTCAGTTGCTTTTAAACTTTTTTTTCCCTCTCGTAAATTGTCTAATATTTTTGTGCAGGTAAGGAGAAAACTACACCCAGTACTGGTTTCATAACTTTGGCTGATAAGTCCCTTGATGGGACAGTAAGGTAAAGCACCATTAGATCTAATTTTTTTCTTTTTCAACTAAGCTTCTTCATTTTGTTTAATACTCTGTTCTCTGATTACTCCTGTAGGCGATACACTATACGTCAAAGAAGAGTGGCAGGTGTGCGATGGCATCAGTGTTCATACTGCTGCAAAGAATTCAAAAAGCCATCTGATCTTGTTCGACATATTCGAGTTCATACACATGAAAAACCATACAAAGTACGTAATTCTATTGTAATTTTACAGGTGTATCTAACTGTAAAGAAAGCATCCGTAGATTTAACTCATTTCTTTTCTTTTGTTCCCCTTAGTGCTCTCATTGTTTCCAAGCGTTTTCTGTTAAATCTACTTTAACAGCTCACATTCGCACTCATGGTGGTCTGAAAAACTACTCATGTGCCGAATGCAATGCAAAATTCTCTTCGGGTAGCAGCCTCAAAGTTCACATGCGGTATGTAACATCTTGGCGCAATCAGTCCATTTACATCTTTTTGTACCATTCTGTTGCCAACTCTCTGCATCTTACAGACTGCACAATGGGGAGAGGCCATTTTCTTGCAATGTATGCAACCGTACTTTCCGCACCTCTGGCCACAGACAGACCCATTCTCTCACTCATTGTGCCTCTGATGCAACAGTGTCTCCCAAGAAGAAGAGAAAAAGAAAGCTTAGGAAACAGGAACTGCAGCCAGGGGAGAGCCTCCCAGATGTTTTGTTGGAGGAGCCAATTGTCATTACAGAGACAGGTGAAGTCCTCTTATGTTTGTGTAATTCTAGTGCCTCCAAATTTGTTTTATTCTCATTGCCAATCTCCTTTTTGATTTAGGCTCAGTACAAGAAGATGTTTCAAAGCCAAGTAAACCACCTGCCCCCAAAGCTTTCAGCTGTGACACATGCTCCGCAGCTTTCCGCAAACGTAGTCATCTTAATGTCCATCTTAGAAGCCATACTGGCGAACGACCTTTCCAATGCCATATTTGCAACAGGTGCTGAATTTTTTTAAAATTTTGTTTTATGTGTATTTTTACTATTATCATAGGGAACAAATCTGTTTAAACCAATTTTATTTCATGCTAATTTTTTATATTTATTCTAGGAGCTTTGTTTCAAGTGGTGTGTTGAAGTCCCATGTTTTAACACATGAAGCTGTGAAGCCTTTCAAGTGTGATATTTGTTCTGGAACATTTTCCACTCAAGCAAGTCTTAAGCGGCACCTCATCATACACAATACCAACAAGCCCTTCATGTGCCCCTACTGCCATAAAACTTTCAAAAATAGACTTAATTGTAAAAAACACATAAAGAATCATAAAATAGAAGTTGCCAGAGTAAGTAATTTTGCTTTTAAAGTTCCAAACAAATGAAATGGTCAACAAGAAAACTCAACATGTTTTTCTTGTATACTTTAGGCTGTTGCACAACAAACAAATGAAATGCAGGAACAACAATTTGTTGTGGCCGTTGGAGATGGTTATGACGGAGGAGAAATAATTGTTCCCAGCTGTCAGGCATTTTCAAGTAATGCTCTTGGTGCTGATGGTAGTCTTGGTGAAACAGTTCCAGGTACAGTAGTTTGAATCTTAATTCCTAGATGTCTGCATTTTTAGTACACAATCACTAATTAGTGTATGAATCTCTTTTTCCAGTGGGGGACAAACTTCTCCATACTGGAAGTGTTATTACTCACACCCTACTGGCTGATGCTTCTGGAACCATAACATTGCCTGCTTCTTTGACTCAGGTTCAATTCAGTTTCTAAGAATTGTCAATATTCTGCAATCAATCATTGTACTTTTGTACTAAGAAACATTTTGTCTTGTCTTTAGGAAAATATCCGTGAGATAGAGGATACTCTGAACCAACAGCTGTCATCTGTGGGTGGTAACACAGTACTTATCAATGCGTCAGAGCAAGCTGGTATTTCTCTTGGTGCTTTGTCGGCTGAAACAGCTGTCCAAGGGACAAGTGTCATCGATTTTGCTGATGCCTCGGAAGCGTGAGTCTTGCAATTAACTTACTTGCTGGAAAGTTATTGCACGGACCTCTTTCTTTATTACATATTTTGGGTGTTTTATTTCAGTGCTCATGCTGAAGATGTTGCTGCTGCTGCTAATCTGGCAGCGAGTGAAGCCCCTCCAGATTCTGGCTTAAACAATGACCCCAAGGACTCAAACTTAGCTCAGGAATCATCTGATTTGAACTCAGCTATATTTGGACAGCCATTTGACCAACAAGCCTATGACTCGTGTACATTCCCTGCTATCACATTACAGGCAAGCTGTCAATGTCTTAATTATTAATAAGGGTGTCCAGCAATTTTGTATCCTTCTATGAATGTTATTATTATAAATCTTTCTGATTTTAGGGTGACCAGTTAAATCTTGGGGGTATTGATCAAGGAGCCACATTGTCAGCAAACATGGAGGCCATTTTGCCACAGTCAAGGGGCAATGAGCGTAGAAGGAACGCACAGGATGAGAATGCTGATAATTCTGAAGCTCATGATGATATGACAGACATAGGCGAACTTTGTCTGCATGATGTGGAGGTGCACAGTATGACCAATGAACAGTTAGTAGAACCAGAACCTGTTCAAGAAACTAGTCCTGCCTTACCAACGTAAGTCACAGATTTCTTTTTGGTTGTTGGGTTTTGATACCTTTGTTTAAATTCTTTGAGTCTGTCATCGTTTCTTTGTGTCTTTTTTCTAGATGTGAAACTTGTAATAAAAGTTTTAAAAGACTTTCCCAACTCAAGTTACATATGAGATCTGTTCATCAAGCCAGTCCAAAGCCTAATATGTGCTCTCATTGTGACCGAAGCTTTAGCTCAGTGAATGCTTTACGGGTATGTAAATAGGACTCCAGTACCTTTGAACCTACTCTTTCTTGTGCTCGTTTAGATTTACATCTATGCTCAATTCCTAACTTTTTGACAGTTACATGCTCGAATACACAATGAAGATAAACAACATGCCTGTGAGCATTGTTCTTTGACTTTTTCAACAATGGCCTCTCTGACCAGGCATATGACTGTTCACACCGATGCTAAGTTTGTATTAGTTGCACTGCACAAACCTTACATGTTTTGTAAATTTCACTCATTTATGGAGTTAAATACTAAGAATAACTTTGTATTTTCAGGCCTTATTCATGTGCCAAGTGTTCTGCAACTTTCCGTACTCAGATGCAACTTCGTAAACATGCCAAAAGTCATGATTCCAGCTCTTCAAGGCGCCAAAGAACTGGAAGGAAATTTCCAGCCATTATCTTTTCAGAAGAGCAGACAACTGCCTTGGCTACTCAGGATGCTGAAACGGCTGGTACTGTTTCTGAACAAATGCTCATTGCTTCGGCAATAGAAACTGTAGAAATGAGTAAAATAGCCAACAATGAGGTAGGTACAACACTGGTTCCTCTGTTTTTCAATTCAGCTTTCTTAATGTTGCATCAATATAAACTTTATTAAATTTTTAGGGCTCTAAGAAGTTTGATCCAGAGACAGTATTTGCAAATAAATGCAAATATTGCCCCAAAAGTTTTCGGAAGCCATCCGACTTGGTGCGCCACGTTCGTATTCACACGGGAGAGCGACCGTTTCGTTGTGATTACTGCTACAGATCATTTACTGTGAAATCAACTCTTATATCACATCAAAAGACTCACATGGCTGACATGCCAAAAAAGTTCCCGTGCCATGTATGTAACCTCAGGTTTTCAACCAAGGGTAGCTTAAAAGTCCACATTCGATTGCATACAGGTATGTATTAGTTAAATTTTTTTCTTGTTTGGAGTTAATTTGAGTTTCACACTTGAATTGACATTGTCTTGTCATTCTTCTCTAAGGTTACAAGCCATTCAAGTGTCATCTATGCAGTGCAAGATTTAGGACTTCCGGCCACCGCAAAGCTCACATTCAAACTCACATTAATGGGTCCACTGGTGCACGTGGTCGCAAAAATCAACAGGTTCTACCGATTCCTGAAGAAGAACCAAACAATGAAGGAGAGCAGATGCTTGAAGGAAATCCTACTGAAGTTCATCAGATAATCACTGTATGAATAGTTGACATAAGCTTGTTTTTATTTTCCAAAATTTATTCCTGTGAGCTGAAATAAAAGTGGATTCTGTTTTGGGGGGCCCTAATTTTACAGGAGGATGGATCAGTTTTGGAAGTTGACACTGCAGCTTTACTTGCGGCCGGTGCCACACTTGATGGAACCTCATTGCAGTTTCAAATTAATGATGAGATACTTCAACAATTACAGGTAATATTATTGTCTAACTCCTATTTCTCTTCTAAATTTGTATAAAAGAAATGCCTGCTAATTTGGGTTTCTGCTCCATGTTGTTCAGCTTCAAAATGGAGGAAATGTTGTTATTCAAGAAAATGGTACTGTTGAGTTTGTGACCAATGGAGAGGATGTCAATGCCAATGAGGAGATCATTGCTTCTCAAATTAATATGGCAAATCAAGAATTGCCATCATTGTTACCAACTATTGAAGAAATGGATGTGGTTCAACACGAGGAACTGGAACATCAAGACAATCATCATGATAGCATGGCAGGCATGCATTTTGAAATCCACACGGATGAGCATGGCCAAATTGTTAACATTCAACAAACATTAGACGGAAGTGGGGTTGTGCTTGCAGATATGAGTGACGCCAACATTGGAGTGAGTACAAGTCATCTTTTTCCTGTTAGCTAAAGGATTGCATGAGATCTTTGCACTAACTTTGAATTTTATTTTTATTTCAGGATATGACAAGAGTAATTGATGGGTCCCAGTTTCATATTTTGGATAGTGTTACTGGAGTGGATACTGTTAACAAAGTAGATTCAAATGGATTTGTGACACTGGACATTAGCGACATTATAATGCCTCCTCCTAGCAACAGCAAAAAGGGCAAGGGTGGAAAGGGCAAGGCTGATTCGTCGGGTCCGACTGCTCACACCTGCTCAGTATGCGGCAAGGTGTTTTCTAAACCAAGCCAACTTCAGCGGCATGTTAGGATTCACACTGGGGAAAGACCTTTCCCTTGCACTCAGTGCTGGAAGGCATTTAATCAGAAAAATGCACTGAAAGCTCACATGAAGCGACACACAGGTGAGCGTCCCTACAAGTGCCCACACTGTGATCATGCTTTCACTCAAAGAGGAAATTTAAAGACACACATTGGAAGAGCACATCCCCATTCAACTGACGCTGTAATACCAAAGAAGAGAAGTAAGAAGGTGGCATCACTACCAAAGAGCAACATACTTGATGATGTTACATTCAGGCTTGATCTAGATGGTGTTGTAGGTGACTTATTTCCGCAAATGCAAAATACAGCTGTTGCAGAGGCTGACTAACAGAAACGCATTATCTTTTTTGACAATTGAATCAAAACAACCAAATGCTCAAAGTTTGGTTCATAAATTTCAACTCAAGATATCCTGTAATGCTTTTCAGAAAGATCTGAATAGATGTAGAATCAAACTTAGATTTTCCGTATTTGTGTTTCATATATTTCCAAAACTCGTGATTTTTAATGCCTTGACGGCTTTAATCTTATTGATAAAGAATCAGCTATGATCTACTCTACAATACAGCATGTTATTTAATGAAATTGATTTGATTATTTATTTTTCTTCATTATCATTGCTGCTCAGGCAGTTAATTTATTGTAGCTATTACGATATTTCAGTATTATTATGAATCAATTAATATTTAAGCTTGTTTTATATGCCAATCCTCAGTAAATTATGGACCTGTATATATTGACACTGTCTAATGAATACAAATTTGAATGAGGTGATGAAGGAATTTGCTGTGCAGCCAGTTAGGAATTGGCTATGAGTTTGAAGTCATTTTCTGTGTATGTGAATACTTGATTCATATTGCCTAGTTATATGTTTGGAACCTTTTTGTTTTTTTGTTATTCTTTTTGAATCTATTTAACTAAACAGAACTCCATTACATGTACCTGATGAACATAATTTTGTTCTTACAAATAAAAACTTTGTAATTTTGGAACTTTTTATTATTTATTTCCTACATCAAAGAACATACACTTCATATACACAGAATCTAAAACAACCACCAGTAGAAAAGCATACTTGAAAAAGGGGAAACACAAAGGGTCACTGACTGATACATATTGGAATGATCATAAAAAGCTTCCAATGAGTTCTCCTTTTTTCATTTAATTATCACTGTCGCTTCCACTGTCAGAATACGAGCCTAGCAAGGAAAGTCCACTTGGTGCTGGAGGTGCTTTGGGAGCAGTGTCAGTGGGTACAGGGGCCGGTGTCGATCCATTAGTAGTTGGTGGTTTGCTCTCCACTGCAGCTGTGGTTGTCTGGGCTTGGGTCCCTTTTTTGCGGACAAGACCAGCAAGACCAGTGCTTTTCTTCATAAGACCAACACTTTTGTTCCAGCTGGCACCATTGGCAGTGGGTTTGTTAGCAGTGGTAACAAGTGGTTTTGAAGCAGTTGAGGATCCAGCAGAGATGGTGCCTGAGCCTGAACTTGAGCTGGCAAATGAACTTTTGAGCTGCTTCTTTGGTGGCTCAATGGTTACCCTGGTTTTCTCAGGCTCCTCATCAACATCTTCGATTATTTCCTCTTCTATGACACGCTTTGCTTTGTTACTTATACTAGGGCCATAGATAGACTTGACTAACTTCTCATCCTCTTCTTCTTGTTGTTCAGCAAGTCTTTTGCGAGCCTCTGTGTCATCATACCTGTTTAGCAAAGTGTCGACTAATGTGTCAACAGAATGCTGACGTCTGTTTAAATCTTTCAGCTCTTCCAAGGACTCCAGTAACTCTAATTCATTTTTACTCTGTTGGGTTCGATTTTCAAGTAACTTCATCGGATTTGTGGCCTCTTCCTCTTTCCTTTCATCCTCTTCTCGTTGGGCCTGTTCTTCTGCTAACTTCAAAGCCATGAAGTTTCTTGTAGCACCTGCTTCTATTTCATAGTCAGTATTCCTTGGATCTGTTTTGAATGAAATTTCTTGCAAGCAGCGGGTGCACTTGATATAGAAACGGTATATACGAATGCCCAAGTAATCCTGTCCTTCCACATCTTCTTTCCGGGCATTGAACTTTTTCCCTTTGTAAATATACTCTCCACAGGTCTTGCAACGCATGTTACATGGGGCCATCAGTCGGACTGTATACTGTCTGTTTTTAGGTAATTTCATGCGAGGTATTTTGGATGGATCGAAATCCGGAGGATAGTACTTGTTGAGAACTTTACGCTCCGACATGGTTGCTTGTTTTCAATCAACCAACTGAAAATGAGCAAAATGACAACATATTAAGTCTATGTCAAGAAAACAACATGCATGAATCTTAAAATAACCTATCAGTTCCCATACAGTGCATATAAATAAACATTATAAAATTTTAATCCTGCTCGGTGCCCCTCAAAGTTAATTATCCAAACGGAATCTGCAGACTGAAATGCGAAAGAGAGCATTCGCCAACAGTGAAAAACCAAAAGTAACTCACCTCAACAAGAAAAATAAAGTTTCTCTTGACAAATCTATGAACGACGTGCAGCGTACGTGTGACGACGAAAACAAAAAACACTCCCGTGTTTTGTTTTTGTTATTTCTGCACCAAACTTTCTCATCACGTGGTCATACAAATTTTTCATACACTGCCTAAAACTTTCCGCGGCAAAATTGAAGGCCCAAGCCGTCGTCGCCTTTCAACGCGTTATTTAGTCCGGCTAATGGAATGGCGGAGAGTGGAACAGCACCCGGAGAGCACGGGGGTGGCGAATACAGCAATAGGGCCACACTCTTGCAGTGGCGGCGCGTTTCAGCCCTTCCCAATCGCGTGAATGGAGCAACACTTCGGCAGAGGACTAGCAACCAGCAGTAGCAGCAGCGGCGTCACTAGCCCTGGCACCCTGCCGAGTTCGAACGGTTCAACTGTACCAGAGCGAGTTGAAATGCTCAGCCCCGGCTCCTCAAAATACGGAAGGCGCTACGACAAAATGTTCCCCCTCATGTTTCCCCTAGTGGACAAATTGAAAAGATGCTAGAGTAAAATAGGAAGGAGGGAAATCTGCACGCCGCTCTTCAACATCGATATGAAACCTTGACGGCAGTGGGTTCGAATCCCTCCACCGTTCCAACTGTTTTTTTTTTCTCTTCTTTTTACGACCCACTCCAAACCCTATACTCACCAGCTATACGTTTCTGCCATTTCTACTGATAACAGAGCTAAAACATACATTCTGCAGCACTTTTTTCTTCCTCCTCTTCTTCTCCCCCCGCCGAGCACTGCCGAGCCGCCCCGCACGCAGCCGCAGCGCCGCCACGCCGCCTCGCCTCTGCGCTGCTTGCGTTCTCTGGAATAATATGCAGTAAATAGCGGTGTCAGGTCCTGAGCGTAAAGCACTGTGCCAGCAGCCGCTTTCTTATGTTTGCTGATGCTCGGAGGGCTGCGCGGCACGGCACGGCTCGGCAGGGCACGGCGCGGCACGGCGCGGCGCTGCCTCTTTTGCATACGAGGCACAGGGATGCGGCCCGCCGGGCCACACCAGGGCCCAGGGCGGTGAAGTAGTGAACAATACATTGGCGCGGCTACGGTAACCAATGAGTCTACCATGCGCCCCGCCGCCGCGAAGCGCGAAGCCTGAGGCCCGCCGCGCCCGCCACGCAGCCACGCCTTGCCAGCCACGCCCCAGAGCTCCAGGCACTGCCTCGCACTGCCGCCTGCAGAACGAAGAGTAGGCCGTGCCGCCGCACTCGCCTGTGCGACGGGGTGCCTACCCCGCAGTCCACAGGGGCGCGGGTAGGCCGAGCCGCCACGCTCGCCTGTGCGACGGGGTGCCTACCCCGCAGTCCACAGGGGCGCGGGTAGGCCGAGCCGCCACGCTCGCCTGTGCGACGGGGTGCCTACCCCGCACACTGCAAGCGCGCAGCTTGTCCGTCTTGTCCCAACTATTCTGTTTATCCCAAGCGGTGGCTCCTTAAAAGTGCGAGTGAGACAGAGCGACAAGCCGCGCTCTTCCTGAATAGCTCGGCTGTCGAAATTCGGACCGAGAGGCTGAAGGCGGAGCGGCGGAGCGCGGCGAAGGAAGGCGAGGAAGGCGATACAGTGAGGGGGCGGGGTAAATTATGTAGGTGGGAGGCGGCAGGCGCTGCAGGACTATTGCACTACTTCACACTACCTCCGCCCTGGCTGGCTGCCTGGCTGGCTGCCTGCCTGGCTCGCTGCCTGGCTGGCTGCTCGGCTGGCCACGGTCGCTTGGTATGGCCGCGGCGTGCGGGGCCGTCCCGGCCTTCCCATCGGGGTGCCGAATGCGACAACGGCCAGGACTACGGCGTCCATCGCCATCAAAGTGTCGGCCGGGATGACCCGCGACCGCCAGCGACCTGCAGACAGTGCGGGCGCGGACGGACCGCGGTCGTCACCAAGGGTCACCAAGGGTCGCCACGGCCACCAGGGTCACCATGACCACCAGTCCCGTTGCCATGGTGATCACCACAACCGGGGCGGGACCGGCTGCAGGGGCAGGCGGTCGGGGCCCGGGGCTCGCGCTCACGCGCTGTGGACCCAAACCACCCCGTCGAGTTATCATCAAAACGGACCGGGGTGGCACAACAGCGAGAGGGGAGGCCGTCGTACGCGACACGGAGTGCACGGAGTGAAGGGAAGAAGAAAAGGGGGAGGGGGTAAGTGGAGTCTAGGGCGGAGGAGCGGAGCAGAGCGGAGCCTGGCGAGGAAAACAAGCCATTTGAATGCATGCCCCTCGTCCGGGTAGCGGTTCGACTCCCTCTCTCCGCCCGGCGGCTCCCCTGGCCGCCTGGCCCAGCCGAGCCAGCCCAGCCAGCCCAAGCCTGGTGGTGCAGTGGAGGAGCTGCCAGCGCCGCCAGCCCTGCCAGCTCGGTGGGTCTGAGCGACAGACTGTGAGGAGGAGCGCGCCGCGCACCTAGCCAACTGCTAATAAGGAGAAAACACGCACAAAACCAAAAACCAGAAGAGCAGTGAGTTACGCATTAACATTTTTTCTGCGGGAGTCAGCTGCGCTAACCGAAATTAAAATTCGACGCTCCACAAAAAAAACCTCCGAAATTTAAATATTGGCGAGTAATGTCTATTTGGTCTCTGACAAACCCCAAGATGAATTCAATACGAGCCCTTATTCCATTTCGCAGTGTATAGGTGCCCCCCACCCGCCACACCCGCCGCCTCGCACGGAGCAACGAGCAGCATTTAGGTATGAAACATACGATGGCACGGATAAACATGAGTTGACGTTACGCGTTGCCAACCTTGCCGGGACGAGGGCCGCCCGGGCAGGCAGGCAGGCAGGCAGGCAGACTCCCCACTGATTCGGGTTGGCTGGCTGCCTGCCTGCCTGCCTGCTCGGGCGGCCCGCCGTTCCCGCCGTTCCCGCCATTCCCAGTCCCCACACGCGGGCCGTCTCCCTGAGACGTGCCCACCGGAGGTGTCGCACAACTCCTGTACCCTTTATTCTTCCCGTGTTGTTGTTTGTGTTTTTACACCGCCGCCGCCGCTGTTGTTGTTTTTGTTGTTTAGAGATTTAGACTGTAGCTGCGCGTGGGCAAGATGATTGCGAAAAGGTGCCACGTCCGTCCAACTTCCACGTAACGCCCCCCCCTCTCTCTCTCTCGCTCACTCTCTCTGGGCCCGTCCGTAGTTTACCTTCGAGCGTCACGGCGTTCCGTTCCACGAGGCGCGTGGAACCGTTTTCTTTCGCTGCGCGCCACCTGCCTTAACATGCGTGTTTATGTGCCAAACTTTTAATTCGAAAATCCCCGCCACTGCCAGGCCCCGGGCTGGCCGGCCGGCTGGAGGCGGAGAATGGGGAGTGGGGAGCGGGGAGTGGGGAGCGGGGAGCGGGCAAGGCGGAGGCGGAACGGCGAGGCGCGCGGACGACGAACTGGGAAAAGGATTTAATAACACACAACAGCATTTACGGACGGTGGCTGGCCTCCTCGGCGCCAATCTCATTGCCTTCTTCTGGGCGTACTTCACTTGCCGGAGCGTCGTCCCCGGGGCGACTCCGGGCGCCTCGGTGCCGTGGCGGTGGGGGAGGGGGCTGGGAATAAGAGAGCGAACTTGTTCGTCATATCCAGTGAGTTCATGAATGTTTACTCTCTGCGGCCGCAATGCCCGCTGCTTGCGACGCCCCGCCAGCCCCGCCAGCCCCGCCGGCCCCGCCGGCCCCGCCAGCCCCGCCAGCCCCGCCAGCCCCGCCAGCCCCGCCAGCCCCGCCAGCCCCGCCAGCCCCGCCAGCCCCGCCAGCCCCGCCGGCCCCGCCAGCCCCGCCAGCCCCGCCAGCCCCGCCAGCCCCGCCAGCCCCGCCAGCCCCGCCGGCCCCGCCAGCCCCGCCAGCCCCGCCAGCCCCGCCGGCCCCGCCAGCCCCGCCAGCCCCGCCAGCCCCGCCGGCCCCGCCAGCCCCGCCGGCCCGGCCAGCCACGCCAGTGGGATGCGAGTTGCGCTACACTTTTAATGACGGCTGCTTTTGGAACATTGGAACGCGCCGAAACGGCCGTTGTCCGAGTCAGCTTCGGTGAACCAGCGCCCCGATCAAGCCTCGGGCGATTTGTACGTTCGTGCATGCCAGTGGTACCAGTGGCGCAGGAGACGTTTTGGCTGCGACAAACCCCCTGACGCCTTGACAGGGCGCCGGGTGGGTAGGCAACCGTCTGTGATTTTCCGGTCGGACGTGGTCGGACGTGAGTAAAACAAGCGACAAAACACCGCTTTGGCTGCAGGTCAGTCCGGCTGGCCACTCTGTGGCTTGGGTACCAATTATTTGTTGCTTTTACAACTTTTCCTTGGCAAAATGTTTTGCGAAGCGCGGCGCCCCGACGAGTCCCGTTGCCAATCTTGCCGAGTCAAGTGAAGCAATAGCGACTTTTGCGGGGCCCCTCCAGGCCCCCGCCCCCTCTGGCCCCCCTTTTCCTCCTGACTTGTTGCAATTTTCATCGCCGCCAAAGTTTTTAACTGGATGAGATGCTTCGGCCACGATGAACACCGCAGCAGCAGACGACGCGGTGGGCTGTGCTGTACACTGTGAACGGGGAGGGGAAGGAGAAAAGCAAGGTGGGGGGGGGGGGTCGCGGTGGTGTGCCTGCCGGGAAGTCTAGTGTGAGGACGACGTCATACGGACTACTTTGGAAAAACAATAGTGTACACGCACCCTGGCACACGTGTACCCGCACTCGCACACGAAAGTACTTACACACACAAGGAACACGCCCCCGACTCACACGTACACATACAAACACACTCACTCACTCACACACACACTCACACTCTCGCACACGCACGCACACCTGAGGGCGCTGCAAACGCCTGCGCGGCGGGGCCGGCGGGGTGGCGGGGCGCGGGAGGGGCGGATCGTCCAAAAACTCTGCGGAATAAATGCCAAAGTTTTCCCCCTCGGTAAGACCTTCTCCCATCCGAACGGCTTGATTCATTTAATGACCGATAGTCCCACATTTCATTTGAGATCTCGGGGCGCTGGCCCTGCTGGGCCCGGCGGGTCCTGCTGCAATTAAGCCCACCGGAATGGTCGGAGCGACACAGAACGGGGAGCGGAAGGGCCCGGGTTCAAAACCCGCCAAAACACTCTTCGATATTTATCCCCCGCGGGCTGCAGGCTGCT